TGGTAAATTATAGGTATGGACATTTATAGCGTTTGGTTTAGACTGCTCTAATTGGTTTTTTTTGTGTCATCAAATTTTGACTTGAATTTTTTAAAATTTTACATGTCATGGAATGTTTACATAATACCTTGGTAATAATGGCATAATAAACCTTGGTAACCTCATACCTTTAAAATATTGGCATAATTAACATTGTTAGTGACTATGGTATAGGCCTCAAGGGTAATTTTATGCATATTTATGAGATTTACCTTAAATTAAATTAACTATTTATATAAAATCGAAGAATGCTCAATATACATAATTGCTTGCAAGTATAAAGGTGTTTCTAACAATACAAATCACACTAGTGCACTTTATTTTTCCCTTTTTTTTTAGTTTGTAAGGATGGCTTGGTTTCTTTTTTTGACATACAGTTAGCATCAGCAAATGTAGACATGCACTTTTTTTTGATAAACTCTGGCTAACCTTCACTTGGTGTATATTGTTAAAAATGATTACTATGTAGTTTTGTTAATAATGGAGTTTTAGTATTTTAATCATTTATTAAAGTTAAATTTGTTTCATCCTCCGGCTGTCGTGGTTGTTTAAACTAATACAAGCAAATCATTAATATCTTGTTTGAGTTTTTTAGTAATGGCTTGGTATTCTGGTTTTCAGTTGTTTGTTTTTTTCTTTTCCATTTAGTTCTACCTCAAAAAGCACAATTAAATCATTTTTTTAAATGGTGTTTTTTATCATTTTGTTTAAATTTAAACTAGGTCTTTGCATGTTACTTTTTTTAATTAAATAACGCATATTTAATAAATATAATCTTTTATTAAGTGGTAAAATAACTACTTATAGCCAAGTTTTTTTTTTTTTTTTTTTTGGCATTGTTATTTCCTTATTAAAACAGTTTCAGATGAGTTGTGTCAACAACATGCCTTCTCAAGTTAAAAAATGACTGCGTTCGGCGGAGGGTTAAATTTTTAAAAAAAGACCATTCTTTATTTTTTGTTGGTATTTTTACTAGAACGCAAAATTTATACACTATAATACATACACCAGGCGCGAATGCAGCATTTTTTTGATTTTTGAGATACCTATCTTTCAGACATGAAACTTCAAAAGTTTATACGCTTATACATATTAAACATATTATAATAGGGATGCTTTGCAAAAAATTACGATGATTGGAGCCTGGGAACAAAAAAACCCTAAGTTTTTAGCTATATCTTCCCCAAGCGTGAGAGCAATAAGTTGATAAATTGTTTTTTTTACTATTCTTAACAAAGTTTATATTCATCGATAAACTTTAAAACTCACACAATAATCTCTTAGCATTCAACAGTTTTGGCATTATAAAATTTGCAGCCCCGTCAAATAAAGGAGGGTAAAAACTTTTTATGATCATAGCTTTTG